TTTCAATCATGGCAGAATTCATTCGGGCATTTAGTAAAACAAATTCATATATTTTTGAGAGAGATGATAAAGAGGCTAACCAGTCCTGTAGTTGACGAGGAGATTTAAATTTTGACCCGGTTTTGGAATAGAAATGACTGCGGCAGTTTTCCAACAAACAGGGAAGTAACATCTTTTAAGCATAAGGTTAATCAAGACCGTAATCCATACCATATACATAATGGGGAAGTTTTTAATCATGCAGATTCAAAATTTGATCTATGCGAGTGGCCTGCCTTCAGCTTCATTTTATCGAATGAACTCTAGCACCTCAGTTGGAATAGTCAGCCTGAGATCAGGCGTGATGGGTTGTGTTAAGAAATGTTCAACAAATGAGTGTATGCGCCGCTGTGTAACCGGACGGTTTTAGTAGGCATCATTATTTGGACTGAATTGTGTAGCAAGGCTGTCAGCAATAACTTCAGCCTTTTCAGTGTCTGTAAAAAGCCATCTGGTTAGCATTGGCCGTTTCAAGGGGCGAAATGTGTTTATATTGTTTGCGTAGTCGGGCGTTAGCACACCAAACCGACTCCTCGTCAGTCGTTAGGGGCTTAATGAAGTGTTTCCACTCTGCTTGTTTTTGCAAGCAGGTTTCAGACCTAATCTCGTTCTGTAGTCTGCGAAATTGAGCACGGATACTAGGATCACGAGTTCTCTGCCAAAGTTTTCGCAGGTAGTTGCACCACTTAATTTTGGATTTAGTATCCGCCAGGAGCCTAGCGCCCGGATGTGTGATAGGTTTCGAAGCCGCGGCTCTCGCTGCTTTCAGTAAAGACTCCATGTTTTTGATACATCTGTCAAAGTCCACATTGCTGGAAATTTTGATAGGGGTTCCAAAATAAACTGAAAATCGTTCCAATTTGTTGAGACTTGCACCTCTAATTTTGAGTATCGCCGAAAGTAAACATTATAAAAAGCAGCCAGATCAAAAACTGCTGGGGACCCTCTTACAGGGTAGTAAGTCGGGGCAGTAGGAGCTATGATCTGTAAACAAGAGCTCTGAACCCATCAATTTTGACTAATGCCAAACCTTTTCTTATTTCTTAGATTAATCACCTGCGAATAATCACTTTTCCGCTTTGTCAATCCTATCCATTTTTCCATTTTGAAAAATCTAGATTTCCCCCCCCACAAGTATTTAAATTTACAATATATTACGAGTTCTTCAAATGGAAACAAAAATATTCTCAAATTGCGTAGAAAAGTAAGGCAAAGCAACAAGAAGACATACCTGCTGTTAGAGACAGCAAATCGACGTAAAGAAATGATTTTAATTGAAAATAGAGCATACGAGCCCGAAAATGGCGGCAACATAAAGTGTAGACATGCTAATAAATTGATCAACTCTACAAGAATTAATGAGGTACTTTTATTTTTTATATGAACTTATTTTTATTTCCTATTAAATACAATATCCATTTCTATTACTCCTTTTAAAAACATCATTTATATCAAAATTTTATGTCTACGGCTTTAAGAACAGTTCTGAAAATAAAAACGGATTATTTTGATAAAGTGTATGAGTGGCTATTGACTTTGAACAAAGTTCAGATCGCATAAATTTAAGAGTGTTGAAGAAAAAAGTTAAACAGTAATTTTGGGGTATTTAATTTTTGAATTTAATAGTTTAAAATATTTTGTTTCTTTTGCATGCCACTTATTTTTGTCTTGCATACCAACGGTTGAGAATCACTGATCTAACTGGTTTTTTCGTAATTGCATTGTGTTGTTATGGAGGTTTTTTCTTGTAAAATGCTCAGCATGTTTAGTATTTTTAATCTTTCATCAATAGAAAAGAAGCTATGATATACATATGAATAGCTCTTTTAAAATGTGTTTAATTTATTTAAAATGTTTATGTGCAGCTTTCATCAAAAGTATTCGGGAGAACAAAGGTGGAATCCAGAAACTGAGACGAAATGTTCCTAACCTTGCAGATAAACAGATATTATCAAAAGCAGTTGACTTTGATTTAGGTGAGAGAAGTGTTTAATTTTAAATGAAAATAATTTATAATTGGCTTCAGTTTAGTTCTTAAATATGTTCTGTTAAGTATATTCTTGTCTAGCAAGTTTCCTAAAAGCATGACTATTTTATTATTGTTCACTCTGTAATTTTATATGAAATTTTTATAATTTTCTTTACTGTAAATTCATACTATCCAGTTTCGTGACTTTAAAGACTTCAGATTAATCATGCTTTTATTTGGTAGGCTAAAGGTATGTGTAAATATTCTTATTTATTTATTTATTTTAAAATTCATGATTGACTTCAGTATTCTTCTGCAGTTTCAGCTGGGTGGTATTATTCTGGTTTAGAGTGGTATAGTGTATCACACCATACACCTGTCTGTATGAATTAAGATTCATGTTAGCCTAAAATTTTGCGATGCCATTTTGCAAAAAACGTTTAGAACAATTCAAGGGTCTGCTAGGAATTAAATTCCTATTTAGTGTAATCATGTTTATTTCATTAAAGTGCTTTAGGGCAAGAATATTTTTAAAGTTAGGATATTACTCCCTTATAGTGACTAGCTTTTTGATCCATTCTGAAAACGCATGAAATAAAGTAGAACAGGTATCGTGCAGAGCGTCCCCCACATTTTATAACTCTTCTAGACTTTCATGTAATGCCACTGAAAGAGCAGCTCTATATTTAAGCTAGTATATAACATGCTGAAATCTTTTTGCACCTTAAAACATTTCTGCTCTTTTCAAGGGATTTGTAATATAACTTTACGAGAGAACTGTTATTTTATCATTCTGGTAGCTAGTGAAGCATGATCTACTTTTTCCTTCATTCTGAAGCTTTAATTTAGTGTGCAGTATGTCTAAAAATTTTTGCTACAGTCTTAAGAGTGAAAAAGCTGAAACTTATTCTTTATTTTTGTGCATAATTGTATTATTTTTTCAAATTAGCCAAATGTTATTAATGTGAACTAATTATTTTTCATTATGTTGAGTCATTAATAGATCATGAATAAATATTTTTGTTAAATGAAGTATAATAAAAATTCAAATTATGGTCTTATCATGGTACTATTTTTGACAAACAGGTACTGGATGATATGAGTACCTTATTTTTATTTTTCATTTGCCCATTATTATTGTGTAGCAAAATAGTAAATTATATATAAGACCAGAATTTAAGACCATCTTTAAAATGCACTATTTTTTCGTTAAGTCTGATTCTGAATCTGTAATGAAAGTATGTATTGATTTAGAATGACTCACATGATTATAATCTTCATATGATTGCTAAATTTATTCTGAACATTTGAGCCTTTATTGAAATTCTCAGATATAACGTTAGGTATTTCAAGCAAATGTTATTCAATATGTTTTTGTAGATGAATATCCAAACAGAGAGAAAGACTGTGTGGTTTGCATGGATGAAGAAAGAAACTGTGTTTTACATCCTTGCCATCATATGTGCACTTGCACAACCTGTGGTCGCTTACTTCTCAAACGTCAAGATGCATGCCCGATTTGTCGAAAACATATTTCATCTATATTCCGTGTTTTTCACTCTTGATAAAATTACATCTTCATTCAAAGCAATTATATTGATTTTGCTATGGGAAGATAGATTTAAGTATTATTGATTAGCCATCAAAATGTACATTTGTATTTAGAAATATTAATACTTTTGTTTTAAATTTTGCTTTATTCATAATGAAAAAGAAGTTTAAAAATTATATACATACCAAAAATGAATATTGTTTTTATGTTAAATGTTTTAATTGTTAAATTTGTTAAACATTGTATAATTGGTGTGAAAATATTTCATAAGGCACTTACTTCTTAAAAAATGCATGTGTTATTTAAAGTTATTATAAAACTCACAGTAGCTAAATTTGGTAAATCTTTTAAATCTATTAAAACTAAATTCCTTGAAATTTATTAAAATGTAAATTAAAGGATGTAATTATTAAAATGTAAATTCCTTGAAATTTATTAAAATGTAAATTAAAGGATGTAATGAACTTGGAGTTACATCATGGTAAAGATGTGCTCAAGTGAATTGGTAGGGATGAAAAAGGAAAAAGAGAAATTGGATCATTTGTAATACTTTAATTTACCTTTATGCAAATGTTTTTCCTTTGTCTGGTTCATATATGTAGTTAGTTCTGTTTGTCACATCCAAGATTGCTTTTATGGACCATTTTTGCTATAGATAGTCTTCCGAAACAGTCATGAAAAATTCCTAGTTATTTAGTACTAAATCCTAACACCTGCTGTTGCCACACATTATATTGAAACTCTAATGTGTAGCAGGCAGCTTCTCATTTGATCTTGATTTGTATATATTTTATTGCTTTGGAAGTATGATAAATAACTTGCCTTTTCAAAACTGAAATATTAGAGGGTCTTTTACATTTTATGACTTAGAAAATTCCCTTCAGTGGTATAGGATCTAATGCCAACAGAAGGGATTAAATAGTCTGAGAAGACATATTGTGAGCTTATTTGATTTTACTGAGTCAAATTTATTCTGAGAAGATACTTCATCAAATAGAGATTTTTGAGTCATCTAGCTGAATGCCAAACCCAGGGAAAGGCTAAAGCACCTACCTGCAATGACAAGTCTTCTTTGACATTTTTTCAGATACAGAATGCAGGTTCAATAACTATGGTAGATTGAAGTAATGCAGACTTGAAGCCATTTGCTGCATGAAGAGAAAGGCACTAATAATAGCATTCTGTTCTTACAGTCTGAACTGTTATCTGGGAAAATATTACATGGGTCTTCAAAACAATTTAAATGTTCAGATTTATAAATGTAAATGCTGTATAGCATACTGGTGTTAGCATATCAGAAAACTTCCACTATATTTCACAACAATAAAATAGAAGAATATGTTATTAAAAAAAAAGTAAAGCAATGAATGTTAAAAAGATTAATATGAATGTTACAATAATTCTGAATTTGTTATTTACTGCTTTTGAAGTTGGATTGTGGGTCACTAAGCATTAATAAATATTTACATAATTTCAATTTAGAACTTTATTAAAACCGTGATTTTTATCAAACTAGACCATAGTGTGGTGAGAATATTTATGATATGTTGGGCCAAATAATATGTGAATGAAATAGAAAAGTGAATATAAGGAAAAGAAAGAGAAGCATTTTCATAACTTCTTTTGCATTATTTATGCAAATTTCATTTTTGCATTGAGAAAGTATTCCGAATGGCATTAAAATGTTTATAACTCTGTGAGAAACTTCTGGGTATTCTTCATGAATCTGCAAGCAAAAATTTAGGAGCTGCTGTTGTTTAAATTTAGATTTTAACCTCGAATCTTTTAATATGTGAATAAGTTGTTCCCTTTCCTTCATCGGCAAGCCTTCTGATTTATCATAGTACTCGAATGGACCTTTCAAGCCTTCTCATTTATCGTAGTACTCGAATAGATTTTTTTATCTAGTCATATTTAATTTTTCTTCTGAGAAATTTTCTCTTATAGTTTTCTTCAATTGAAGAAGGTTATGTAATTTTTAACACTGTCATCTAAATTCAATTTATTTTACATTAGAAAACTTCTTTGATTTGCAAAGCATTGCACGACATTCTCTTTGGCTGCATATTTAGTTTTAAATCCAACTCAATTAATGTTTTCTTTAATTTTTATAATAGGTACATTCAGTGCTTGAAGGGATATATTTATTTCATTTAGAATGATGAACATGTCTACTTAATAAGACAAACATTGTAAACATATTTCATCACATAATTTTTTAGCATAATTTTTTAGCATGACTTTTTTTTTGTTTAAAAAAAAATTGGAATTGTAGCAGGATCTGCAAAACAAAAGCATATTTAGTACTTGCCTTCTACACTGGCTTTAGCCCAAGAAAGTGGCATAGGCTTAAAAAAAGTCTTCAGGCTTAAGAAAGTGCGATTTGAAAATTAGACAAAACAGCAAACTTATTTGGCTTATTTTGAACATCATAAAAAGGAAATTTGTCTAGTTAATGGAATTGTAAAAAAAAATATGGAGAAGTGAATAAATGAAGATGATGTAATAGAAGTTTTCCATTGCAATCACTGCATCAATCAGCAATCAACAAATAAACGGCGAAATCTGTAGTAATCCAAGAAATATCTCTTACGATTGTGATGAAAGTGACATTTTTGAAAATGAAGATTTCAGTTGGCAGTATTGTGGGAATTTTTGACACTGCAGTTGCAGGGTATGAATTGTGGAACTAAACAAAATATTATATCTGTGTATAAAATTTAAGAGAAAATATTGGTACAAAAAAAATCAAGCATTTTAAACACCTTACTTAGACATAAATAAATAATAAAGCAAAAGATACAGCCTTTTTTCCATTAATTATCATAAATGTTTCATTTTTTTGTAAACAAATATTTCATATTTTTAATTTTATATTTTCTATATATCATCTTATTAGATTTAATGAACTACTGATTTAAAATAAGGAATCGCCGAAGTTTTGATGAGTCTAAGTTTCAGACTTTGTACTGTATGAAATGATTACTAGCACACAGTGCTGTAAATTATTGCATAATTTTCTTTACTAAATTTTGTTGAATTATTACTGTATAAGATTCAGGTATCATAAACCATATAAATTTTGATTGAATGAACAAGCTAAATTCAGATAGACTTCTACTTTGAATAAAAAAAATTTTATGTGCGGATTTTAAACTATTGTTATAATAACTGATATAAGTTTCAAACTCCTTTAATACATTTCAGGAATATTATAAATATCCATTTTCAATATTAATATATTGCACAAAAATAATTTGTTCTTGTTTGATGTAATTTTTACCCAAATGATTAAAATTTAAGAAATAAATTTTGTAGAAAGTTATCAAATTATATAAGCATCTACATGACATTTTCCATTTGTAATTTAGATTTTTAGTTCCATATTTTTTATGTTATTGAGTTTGAACAAATATGTGTAATTAATATGACTAGCTGTGGAAACTAAAACAGTAAAATATAAGAACTATAAGCCACATTTGTTCTACCCCCCAAGACAGACTTGCCAGTTTGAAAGCCATCATCAGTAGCTTAGAACACTTTTAATAATTTAAGTAACACCAAAAGGCCACATTAAATACCAAAATAATAGTGTAAAATATGCATGTCTGTATGTTGTATTAGGGTTCAGAGCTTCTGATGACACTTTCCAAATTGACAAGTCTCTCTATCTTGGGACGGTGTTTTTTCCAGAGCACTGTAAAAAAACTTGACTCATAAGAAACGGGTAAAAGAAAAGAAAACGTTGAAGTTTAATTTTTTTTTGGCATGATTTTACATGACAACAATGTGATAGTAAGGGTAACTTCACTGTAAAAAATACCAAATATATTGTAAAATGTACATTTAATTTTTAAATAAATGCTATTGAAAAGAAGAAGATTTTTGGTTTTAATGTTGTTGAACTACTGATATCTGTTGATTTGATACTGCAAACTCTTGCAGCAGAGAAAAGAATGTAACCATTATCAGACAGTCTTTGTGAAAATACTCATTTCTGGTTAACTTTCTGCATTTAATCTTAAAGATCTGTTTTATAATCTAATTTTTTGATTAATGAATTTGATAAGAAAGTTGCATCATGTTTTAACTTTCAATTAGTAGGTTTATAAGATCAATCAGTCTGAACTCAAATAAAAGGGCCAGGCTTATATGCACTCTCTTTTGCAGCTTTCTCACTCAAATTATATTTTACTTATAATGATAAAATAAAGAATAAATTATATATGTTACATAGGAAAAATTAATAATTTTTATGTTACTAGAATTCTGCTAATTATGAAAGCAATAAAACATTTCTTTTCAGTGAAAAAATCAGAAAATATGTCGCCAAATTCGAACTGACAACCAGATGGTTAATATGAAGTATAGCATTTCAATAAATGCACCAAGCGATCGAGCTAATCAAACTAAATGCTCTGAAATCACAAACAATAGGAAACCAGAGCTATTATCAAATGCACATTGACAATAACTTAGGCTTTTCCTCTCAAAATATAAGAATATAGTAATCTCCTTAAATAATAACAGTATATTTAGTTAATTAGCTAATTTAGTTAATGCTACAAGCGAGGCAAAAAGATTACATTGCTCTCTTAATAATAACATTTCGCTTATATGAATGTGAAAGAATATTCTGAAAAGTATTCTTTTGTATAAAGAAATCAATCAGAAATTATGATCTGAAATAAAATTGCATGATAAATTAAGTTTTTAAAATAGCAACAAAAACTCCAAACAGTTCAAAGTATGTATTATTCAGTAAGCTAAACACTGATTCACTAACAATTATTGATTTTTGGACATGTGATTTGCAGTTTCAAAGGCTTTTGTCAATAAATTCTCCAGTGACAATGTATCCTTTCATGACCAATGATCAAAACTACTATTATTGAAAGCACCTATAAAGGTGCTGACATGTATCTGATGCATCAGATATAAGTTTCCCCATATAAATAGTCTGGTGTAGACGTCGAACAACGCTTGTTTGGATATTTGTCTTCTCGTGTAGAGAGGTTAGGAAAAGTGTAGGAATCGATAAACTTGGTATGAAGGTTAAAGAAATGGGTTTTATCAAGTTATGTAAATTCATGAAAATTAATTATGTACTGCAATTATAGCATTTCCCGATTAACTGGGAAACTGCAATTATTTCACCAATCCTGAAGCCCACCTGGGATCAACGTGACCCCAGCACATTAAAGATCGCAAGACTTTAATCCCACAGCTGCAATGGATCAGCTCCACCAGGTACGTCTTGAAAGACCTACGACATCAATTAACTACAAGAGCATTCTTTCTCGATATTTCCAAAGCTTTTGATTGTATATGGCTGTAGAGGCTACTTTACAAGTCAATCATCCAAGATTTCCTGGACTATACACAATTAATTCCTATCTGAAGGATAGATACTTTGTCATTTGCCAAAACAATTATTTCTTTATACATTAGCAAATACTAGGTGGCCTTCCATAGGGGTTCTTAATTAGGCCTGTGTTTTTTCCCATTTATGCAAAGATATACTTTACAACATTAACACTACTCTTACAACATATGCAGATGATATCACAAAATCCAATTCTGAATTGCATTCACTCCAAGGACACACATACACACCTGTTTGAATAACAGTTCAGATTTCAATTAATTTATCAGCCAGGGTTGAATAATCAAACAACTAGAATTATATATGTGATCAGGGCAGAATTAACCATTGAGCAATATAAGTACGTGCTTAAGGGCATCAAGGAAAATGGAGAATGAAAAGTTTTCCATTGCCAGTTTTACTATGGAACACATTCTGTAGCTAAACCAAAACTGTGAGAGAGAGAAGGAATGAAGAAAAATTGGGCCATCAAAATCTTAAGTCCTTAGTGTCTGTAAAGTCTCATTATGGTATTGTATGTGATGTAGCATTAATATATCACAATATGCATTGCTGGAAACATCTAGGACCTATTAATCGTTAAGTTATCCATGTCTAAAATTATCGAGACATTTTGAATATTTTTGAGTAGATGGTAACATACTGATAGCTTGATAATTCCAGTAGGCTTCAATTAATGTGACCCTTAAGATGGTCATGAGATGGTATTAGTTTTTCAGATATGGCTAAAATTTCAACAGTCGGGTCCCCTGCCTTTTTTTAAAATTATTTTTTATTCCTTTACCGAATGCCAATAAAAAAGTGTTTCCCTTAGGTTTTGAGTTAAAATGTTTAATAATGTCTAGGTTAGGATTTGGAAAATTCAAATGATGAGAAATGTGTTAAGATTTGTTCATATGGAATTCCTGATCTCTCTGAGGATTCATGGGATCTGAGAATTGAAATTTCCCTTCTAATGAATTATTTCAAGATGATTCTGTATCAGAATTTGGAGTTAGATTTGATCTTAAGAATTTGGATTTTTCAGCCGTTGCCATAGCCCTTTCGCCAACATAACAATTCCTCGGCAGCTGATTCGCCATGAGTCATTTCGCCGTCAAGTAGAAATAAAATATGTAATAAAGTTTACTTATTTACTATGACACATAGATTTTGAAAATAAATCCTTTTTGTGCGTATATTTATATATACTATAAATACTTATATATATATATATGTCATGATAAAGCAAGGAGAAGACGGAAACTGTAGATGCCTGATTAGACCCATGAAGAAGATTTTGATTGCGTAGTATGCTAGTAATGCTAACTTGGTAATATCTAAAGAAACTTGGCAGTCGAGGCAGTTTAATTCCATTTTTATTTGCAACGTATATTTGTGGCCACAATCACTTGGCACTCTAGTTCGTGCCTTTCGCAGAAGATTTCATTTTTGATATTGTTTAAGAAGAAGCAAGCAAGCGAAATACACGTAGCAGAGTAAAGGCAAAACTGAAGTGCGGAGTTATGAAAGATGAAGCACGTCAAGAGAAAAGTTTTGGTTTACAATTATTACGTCATCAGAGCTGCGGGGCCATAGAGTGATCTAGAAATGACGTAATGCAGAGAGTTATACGATTTTAGAATAAAGAGGAAGAATTAATGTTTATATTTTATTAAATTCTGATTCATATAATTTTATCTTACATATTTATATACTCTTATATTTACTTCAGATGATTTCTTTATTCATAATGTAACTTAAATCAGTTAACAATTATCAATTTCATTAATATATATTTTTTTAATCAATGGGATCTTTATTATGCTGATCAATTCATGCATGTTCGGCTGTCGACTCTTTTATCTCTTTGAACATCACCATTCAAAATTTTGTCCACCTGCAAAAGGTCCTTACAGATACATTGGTGATTCTTGATGTAGAAGACCATGCAGAAAGAAGTTAATACACAGATGGCCATCAAAATTGAAACACCATGAAGGAAAGCCCCCCCAAAAAAAAAAAAAAAAAAAAATTTATTGCACATAAACAGTATGGCATGAAAACAAAATGTTTAAATTTATAAGCATTTTGGAAGTTTACAAGGTTGCGAATGTATTATATATCATGTTCTTCGCACTTAACATAAAATTCAGTTCAAGTGCAATATCGCAAAAATTTTAAATTGAGCATATCTTTTGAATTTCCGATACACAGTCCGCACTCTGGAGATAAAAATGTTTTCTCTGTACAACATTGCCATTACTTGCTTTGGAATCTTTAGTTTGTTAATCAAAAATTAAATTTTACAAAATATGAAATCTATACTAAAACAAATCCCAAATTTCAAATTTGTGCTTCCAGATGCCCATATTTGCAGTAGGATTACGTAATTCAAAATTGGATGGCTCCATGTGCCGTTGTTTCATCACAGTGCGAGAGTACATTTATGCAGATTCTTCATTATTTAATTTCTTCAAATATAATACAGGACGATAATATTTGGTGGCAAGTTTAAAAAGTGAAACGGACACTCAGAGTGATTCGATGCAAAATCGCAAAACGAAAGCAATAGTCCCTTTGGACTAAAATACTTTTGTTTTGTTAATGCCAGTCACACTGGATGAAAATGGAATTGTGTGTGTGGGGGGGGAAGGGATGCTAAACGAGCAATGTGAAGGAGGAAGGGAAAAAGGAGAAATCATGCTTATGTGACTGAATACGACATACGAGTAACTGGAAAAAAGAGAAAATTATTAACCTTATATGTTTATATATCATGTTGATATTGTTGATATTATTAATACTACTATTTGTAAAGAATTAAGGTACTAGATTGTTTTTGAGTTTACTAGAGTATTTAATAAGAAAGTACTACTCGTAGTCGTAGGTAAGCATTTTAATACCAGTTTCTTGGTAATGCGTGAAAAATAATCTAAAATTTTTATGTGTAAATCAAAACTACTTTATAATGGGGGATCTTTAAAATGGTATACATCAACGCGCTCCACATGTTTTTTTAATTCCACTGGTCATGTATTAGGAAATATTTCGTAAATGTAAAATTTGATATAAATATTATAGACAATGAACTCAAATGTTTTGTCTGATTTAATATTAATGTGAAAAGTTTACATTAAGCTACGAGAACGCTGATTTATATATCACTGACGTTATGTGCAATTCATAAATGAACTAATAAATTGAAATATAATTTTAAGAAAACAAAGCTATGAATGCTTGCAGCGGTTCTCAACATTTTGACTAATGCGTACCATCTAAATGACAACTGAAAACCTTTAGTACCACCACTACAAAGTACTACTACCACCACTCTTGAACACAGTTCAGACAAAGAATAAGTATTGTTAAGAGGGAAAGCTTCACAGCAGCAGGAGTGGCTCCCTCCGAACGAAAAGGGACACAACTGCGCATGCATGAAATATTTGTCGCCCGAAAGCTCGAAGCTGATGTCGAAGTTCGAACAGGTTCGACGGTCACGTTTATCAAAATTT